GGGATAATTACCTCTCAGATCGTCAGAAGGCCTGCAGATCTGCTAGTGATAAAATTGCATAATACATTTTGCTGTATTAAGTTTTTTTTTTTTAATTTCAAACCAATCCACCAACAAAACGTAACCAATTCCAAATGTAAAATTACACTTCACTTGGCGTCCCTGCACTTCCGACTTGAAGGTTAAGTTGTTAAAAACCTGATCTACACCACACTTACAAGTTGTATTATTTTTATAGCAACCGTATAACAACTTTGATAAAAGTAGCTATTCTAGTATTCACGGTTACTATAAAGTTGTATGTGAGGTGTAAACCAAGCTTTTAACAACTTAACCTTCAAGTCAGGAGAGATAGGACCAATGAGGTTATATTTCCCGGTCATGGACGTTAAGTGAAATATAATTTATAATTTGGAACTTTTCATTTTTGTTGGTGAACTGATTTAAAACTAAAAAAGTCATAAATTTTATTTTATTTTATTTATTTACGGAAAATCTTCTTTTACAAAATAATTATTATCAGTAGATATTTTAAACCTAACCTAAAGTATCACACAAAAAAGAAAAAAAAATAAATATCTTAAATATCACAAAAAACTTAGAGCTAAAGCTAACTCGATAAGTACGCCCTCAGCTGATTTTTAAACCTAAACCGACTAACTCCCAAAAGATCAGTGTGTCTGTTAATTCCATTTCCTTGCCTTTGAAATCTGGTTAAAGGACTGTTGAGTCCGTAGTTCGTATGATGGAAGCTAATTGAAAATAATGGTTTCTCTCTAATATTCACGTTGTTTAATCTAAAGTTTATTAGCTCCAACATATCCGAACAAGCTATATTCCCTTCCAGGAAATTATAAAGAAATAAAAGATCATTACTAATTAACGTTTTCTCAACTGACAATAAGTTTAAATGGTTATTAAGCTCCCTCTTAGAAAGATAAGGCATATGTAACCTACACTGACAAGTTCTTAGAAACCTATTTTGAACTGCTTTTAAATTTAAAATATGAGCAATACTTTGATATGAGTCCGGTAATGAGGTGACCAGACTGGTGAAGCAGGATGCTGCGCACTAGTGTTAAGTAAAGGGTTCGGAATGTAGGCACATAGAATTCCCTAGAGTTCCTGGTCACAAATCCCAATGTTTTCAGAGCTCTACTAATGATGGATCTCATGTGTGGGACAAATGTCAAAGAACTATCGAAGATCACACCTAGATCCTTGATTTCACTAACTTTCTCCAAAACAGTAGTATTGATATTATAAAGAAAATTTATAGGGTTTTTTGATCTTTTGAAGGTGATTGAAAAACATTTACGTGGATTAAAGACATGGCATTATTTAAAATCCAATTAAATACAAAATGGTTTAAATCATCCTGTAACTTCAAACAGTCAGGTAAGTTTAAGATTTCCATGAATAATTTTAGGTCATCGGCGAATAGTAGGAACTTACAATATTTAAATCCTGAAGCCACATCGTTAATAAATATATTAAATAGTAATGGTCCCAAATGAGATCCCTGGGGGACACTTGAACTTACATTTATTCGAATCGAAGTAAAACTTTTAACTTTGACATATTGAACCCAACCATTTCACTAAGTAATTTGGAAACCCGAATTTCATTAGTTTCCTTAAAAGCAAATTATGGTTCACAGTATCAAATGCCTTCGAGAAGTCAGTGTAAATTGAGTCAACCTGACACCCCCTCTCGAAGGCAGAAATGATATAATGTTCGTAGAGCAGTAAATTTGTATTAGTAGACTTACCTCCCATAAACCCATGCTGTTGTTCAATCAAAATGTTTTTGAAATGCCATGACAAAGGTTTATATAACAATAATTCTAATAATTTAGGTATTGCAGAATGTAAAACTACAGGGCGATAGTTACCTATGCCATCTTTCTGACCATTTTTAAATATGGGGGCAATGAAACTGTCACGCCATTTTGCAGGAAACTGTTGTAATTTCAAAGAGGAATTAAATAAAAACTGTAGTGGTTTGGAAAGAGTGAATTTACATTTTTTCAAAAAATAAGCAGGGATTCCATCTGGACCATAACTCAATTTATCTTTTAGGGAGTTAATACCATCATAAACATCACTTAAGGAAAACTATATAAAGGGAATATCAGGCTGGTTAAAAGCATTATAAAGAAGGTTTGGTTCATCTTAATATGTCGTAGTTGTAAACTTTTATCAAGAGAGAAAAATTTAATGTACAATTTTATCGCAAGCAGAGATGCATGCCTTTTGATGATCTAAGATCAGCAATCAGCAGACGTTTTGGAGAGCTCATAGGCAGGTCTTAAATTCCCGTGAAGGATACACAATGGGCCTATTGAGGCCTAAGCGACATGGATGGTCACCCCTACTTACATATACAGATTGCAAGGAGTAGTATAGCCTTTGCTGAAATCTTACTTCATTCCTTAATCAAACTATTAGAGAAAATAATATATCTATTTAGTTCTGATATCTATTATTCTATCAATAAATATACCTTCCATTAATTTCTTGATCTATTAAATTATTTATTATCCAGGGTCCATAATATTTCTTAGTAACTAGTTGTTACGCTTAACCATCAAGAATATTTGGTTGCTTCCAAATAATTCTGAATCAACTTTTGTAACCACTGGTTGTTACAGATTTTACTTAAAGAATTCTGATTTTCCCAAAGTGGTAATACAATAACTGACCTTGATCATAGCAACTTGGTCGGTAACTTAATGTATGATACAGCATAGACTAATATAGCAATCGTGAATTCTAGAATAGCTACTTTTGTCAAAGTTGTTATATACAGTTGCTATGAAAGTGGTAAGTAACAAGTGGTTAGAAAGTTGCCAGATAACAACTATAGTTACAGAATAGACCCCATAGAGTGAGCAAGTAAAGGTGGGCACACCTTTGATAAAATCTGTATTAGATAAGTTACAAGAAAACGGTCAAACAGATCGACTTTGATTCTTACATACACATTAAAATCATAACCAATTTGTTTAAATGGCAGCACCCTTTTCTTCTGGCAGCAAATAATAGAGCACATTTTCTTCAATATAGTCGTCAAATTTTGTGGAATGATACATTACAATATTTTAGAGAAAAACAATGTTGGTTAAATTCTACAAATTTACCAGAAAAAAATATCAATAAATTAATATGCCACTTCCATTTTTATTAAACAACATAATTATCAAATATTTTTCTTTTAATCTTAATGTTAAGTCATAAATCACAAATAACTTTTTTAAAGTAATGGAAAATAACCTGCATACACAAATACGGCCCAGTTTCGCTAAAATATTTCTAACCGTCAGGGAATACTTGAAAAACACGTTTTTTACCGTATATCTGTCTCAGCGCCAGTAACTCAAGTCTCACTCACTTTCACGCAGTCTTTCTCTCAAAAAATTCTTAGAAAAGGAGCCGTTTGAGTGTCCGACGCATAGCTAACGCACCCCAAGTGACGGATTTCTTATGTCATGAAGCACCTCATTCGCCAGAACACCTCCCACTACTGTAAAAAAGATCTGGTGCGTCAACTATGCCCCGGACACTCAGTTCGGACAACGAGTTCGATAGAAGCTGTTTTGAACGAGATAGTTCTTCATAAACAAGCAAATGAATTCAAATTGGCAACGATCAACTTGATTGTACGTATTAGTTAAGAAGTTCTATGTTCTATCTACAAAACCAACATTCTTTGTGCCTTATGTATGAATAATAAAAACACTTTGTTTTCCACTCAAACTCTCAATTTATTTCTACAAGAAGTACCCAATTTTCCTCACACCAACGATTTATACATACAAGACACTTATATCAAAAAATATATTTGAAATAAAACCAGTATTTTTTCAAATGTTATGAAATAAAAATTCAAGAAATAATAAATTATAATTGAAAATAATTAAATTAGCAAATCTTTTGACATTATGCAAGTCAATTTTGAAAATCCTGGAGAAGGGTCTCTAGCGTTTTAGCATTAATTAACAAAATTTTGTTCGCAATCCTTTCCTTTAATTCATTAAATATTATAAAGTATATTAAAGTATATCTTGGACTTAATTAACCCCACATAAGATAGTCTAGCGGAGTTAAATCAGGAGCTCTAGTTGATCACATCAGATACATAGTAGCATAACAATATTTTTGAGTTGGCAATAATTTTATTATTGTATGTATTACTTTCACTCCGACACTGGCCGCAGCTACATACTTTTTAACAATACCTTTAATTGTTTCCTACCGTTTCTATTTTTTTTACGTGAACAATTATTATTATCGAAACTGCCTAGTAATTTTTAAAATTCATGATCAGCATACTAAAGAAGTACAAGAGCAGTGACTAGGCATCGGTTTTTGTTATACGGACTATATAATGTGTTTAAAAAAACTATGAAGTTATTCCCAGATTGTTATTTATGTATATTATCGATTAAAAAAGTAATATAAATATGAGCAATCCTTAAGGTTGTCTCAAAACAAAACACTCAAACTCACTAATATTAACCCTTAACTGCATAATCTATTATACTTATTTATTTGTTACATCGCATTTCTAATTCTGCTATTGCCATCTGTTGACATTTGTATAAATTTAATTATATGCAAATTTAACATCATTTATTTTTATGGTAGAAGGTTTATAACATTCTGTTCTAAGGTACGAACGGTTTGATGTACTTTTACTATTTGTTTCTAATGTGCAAATTGATAAAAGTGAATATCAAGAAATATTTTGTTGGTATTTAAGGTAAGTAGTTTAGTTCTATTTTTTTAGTTTCATGTATCTTATCAGAAAATATACGAAAAATAAGCCTAGATTTGACTAATATCGCATTTCCTATAGACAGCATAGATATATATTGGACGTTTGGTTTTGGATATCTAAACACTACTTTTTAAAGAAAAACTTGATGTTCGAGGAAGGACGTAACTTTAATAATAAATGTGTTTTATTAAAAAAAAAAAAAACGAAAAAATACTTACATCCTTTTGTAGGAATCACAATAATATTTTGATTCTTATCATCTCCATCAGCTCTGTCCTCCCTCTCTCCCTTTTCTTGCTTCACAGCCTTTACTTCAAAGGAATACGTCGTTGCCATTCTAAGACCTTTAATATCGGTGTTAAATATTTTGATATCTTCTTCTTTATCTACAACAGCGTTTTCAGTAAAATCTGGGACTTGTTGTACTCGACATCGTTGAAAACCCCATGTTTGAAGTTCACAGTATCTGATGCTGAATCCGCCTGGGGTGGTTTTCGAAGAGTCCACTTCCCAGTGAAGGCGTACTTGTCGGTAGTCGGGTTCGCCCATGAGATTTTTTATATCTGAAATGAAAGAAAAGAGTTAATATTTGATTTAAGTATTTTAGGTATTTTTCTTTAACCTAATATTTTCTGCTTTTAGTTAACACTTTTCAAGTTTTACTTCTCACATTTCTCTTTTATAAAACATAAATTTACTAAAATTTGAAAAGTGTAAAGTGAAAAGTTTCTACTTTTTGTATGTATGTTAGATTTTATTTTAATAATATTGATGCAAAAAAAATAGTATATATTACTCGGAATTGAAGGGAAATAGTATTGAAACATATCTTTCTATTAATGCAACGATAGACATAATTAAATTTTTATAAAACTGGATATAGTCACACAGTACCAATGTTAGTTTTTTAAAACCGTATTATCGGTGGGTTAGGCTTTACCTAAATACCAAACCATCGAAGTTACTAGCGGAACTGCAATGTTAATGTTCCATATATCGATGGTGATTACGATTACTCAAAAGAAATAAAAACCTAATAGATCAGGTCTACTTATTATTTTGTTTTGCAGGCTAACCCATTCAGGTGTGAGTATAGCTGATGAACCGTTAAATTTGATTATTTTGTTTTATCGCTTTCTTCCGTTTATGGTAAAATTTAGTTTTATTATGGCCTTGGTGTTTGTGGTTAAAAACCATCGCAATTATATGAATTTTTGAGAATGAATCGATAACACCGGGCACCGTGACAGAATCATCCTATTTTTATATAGAAAAAGTTAATATAACAATTTTTTGAGGAATCTTAATCTTATATGGAAAATATATATTAGGATGAAACATGAAAAAACTGTAAAATGTTGAACACAAAAACAAAGAATTTTTCAAGTAATTTGTCTCATTAAAACCCAAATTGGCAATAAGAAACTGTGACCATCTGTTACAGTCGGTTCACTCAGATACTATTTGACATACAAAATTAAAATTTGAAGTAATCAGTGGCTCAAATTAGGTGTTAACTAAAATGTTAGGTGTTAACAAATTAATTTATTCTCTAGTTGTAATGCTTGTCTTACGTGGGACACGGTGTATATATATATATATATATATATATATATATATAATGCGTGTGTCATAGTTAACTTTTTGACTATATGCCATATGGATATCTTATATGTTTTAAATTACGATAAGCAATTGATTTTTATATTATATTAAATTTATTTATAATAAATTTTAACTGGAATATTTTTAGCAATACCTACTATACTCGGACAAAATATTGGAAAGGGTGAGTCATATGCATGATCAAGACTGTTCTCTATGAATGAAAATTCCGACAGGGTCAGCATAGGTGGCGTATCAAATACCAAATAATTATGTATTATTTATTAGGTATTTGTTAGTAAACTTTATTAAATTTGTTTGTCAACATCTTTATTTAAACAAAGATGATGCGTTAAATATACGTTTTTGATAGTTTTCAAGAAATGAATATATTTATTCCCTAATGACTTCGTTATCTGTGGTTAATGGTTTTAAAATGTGTTTCAAGTAAATAAACGACAGACGGGTTACAGATTAAATATTGTCAGCACAGGCACAAAGACAGTTGAAAACTAACTTTCGACGAAGTTAGATTTGTATCGTTTTAACTATTTACGATAATTATTTTATATTTTATAAACACTTTTTTTGTATAAGTGCTCTTTTCTGATATACGAGTAGGTGTTCATGTTTGTGCTTTACAATTTGGTAGTGATAGTGCATATTCGAGGAGTTATATTTATTGTGTAGTATATTAGGTAGGTTCTTTAAAAGTTTATTAAATAGTAAAATATTGGTGTCTTTATAAATTTAATAAAAACATTTTAATAGTAGAATTATATTGTTACAATAGTAATGGCTTCAGAGGCGGGTCCAAGTGAAACCCAATTACGTCGGCAAAAGCCCTTATCAAAGGATGAAAAGAACATTATATGGAAAGTATATGATGGGCTGAAACAGACACTTCCTACAAATGAAGCTGTAAACCGCAGTTCTTTTTTAACTGGAGTATCTGTTTCAACAATTGAACGTATTGTACGCAAAAAGACAAAAAAGCCTCCTTAAAAGCCCCTAAAACGCATACCCGTGGTCAAAAATTGTTGAAATTGGACGATAACCAAAAACAAGTCATTCGAAGAATTATTTTTTTTTTTTCGAAAACAAAGCCCCAACAATTAAAGTTGTTCTTACGAAATTAGGAGAAAACGAAGAAATTTCTTTAATGAGCCGTGAAACTTTACGAAAAATTTTATGGAGCCTAAAATGTCGTTTTGTCAAACGGTGTAGGAAATCAATTTTAATTGAGAGGTCAGATATAGTGTCCTGGCGACAACGTTATTTACGAAATATTAAAGAGTTTAGAGCCGTTAAAAAATAGTATATTATGCAACGATCATGTAATGATGGTTATTAATACACGAGCATTAACCGGGATACGAAACGAGCCAAAGGCGAGTTTCGTATGGTTTATGCGAGTGTTTTAATAACCATTACATGAGAGTTGCATACGCTATTTTTTCTACACCCGATAAATAATCAAGACCTATAAATATTCTATTTATATTGGCATTGAACACAATAACAGTAATTACTCGTATTTCTATAAAAAATTCTACAAAATTGTAATTAATGGTATTACCTTGGGTATTGGTATTACCACAGATTTTTGGGGCAAAATATTTTGTACTGAATTTTCTCCTTTCTCCGATATGTGTGGAGGAGTCTTCTATATCGCTGATATCAGACATTTTAATATTATAATTATCGAAGTTTAGCTATCTACGAAAATTTAATACGTTTTGACAACTAAAACAATTACATAGGAATTTAGGACAAACGTCAAACATCATGCTTGATTGAAAAATTGTAGGTTTCTATTGATTAAAAATCTGTATCATAATGAAAAATCTGTATCATAATGGGTATCATTATGAAACGGATTTTGGGCATATAAGTGCATTATTATAATACGGGTGTAGAAAAAAGATATACTATTTCGATGAAACGTGGGTGAATGCTGGACACACGGTATCTAAGATATGGCAAGATACTTCTGTAACTAGTCATCGCCAAGATTTTATAGAGGGATTATCTACAGTTTTGAAAGCATTATCAGGTAAAGGACAGCGCCTAATTGTTACCCATATCGGAAGTGACAGTGGATTTTTGGAAAATAGCGCTCTTGTGTTTATATCGAAAAAAACAGGAGACTACCACGAGGACATTAATGCGGAATGCTTTGAAAAATGGTTTACTGAAGTATTACAGCAGGTATAACGAAATTCAGTTATTGTACTAGATAACGCTTCTTATCTTATATCTTATAATGTCCAGTAGGAAGGCGGATATGCACACCTGGCTGCGGGATAAAGCAATAACATTTACTGAGGAGATGCTTAAAGTGGAATTAATGGACCTAATAAAGGAACACCGCCATAAATATATTCAATATGTTGTCGACACAATGGCTCGTGTGATGGTGGTATTACAGTACTAAGACTTCCCCCTTATTACTGCGAATTCAATCCTAATGAACTAATTTGGGCGCAAGTGAAGGGGTTTGTAGCTCGAGAAAATAAAACTTTTAAAATAGCCGACGTTCAAAGTTTATTAAAAATCGGTATAGAACGTATAAAACCTGAAGATTGGCAGAATGCTATTTCCCATGTAATTAAGGAAGAAACTAATATGTGGTGCTTGGACGGTATGATCGAAACGGTAGTTGAACCTTAAGTTCCGACGATAAAGACGATTCCAGTGATAGTTCTGCAGAATCAATGGATTACGAAATTTCATATATTTAGAATTCGAGTAAGTGATACCAAGCTTAATTTGCATATTTTTATAATAAACAAAATACAATTATAAACATAGATGAATTATTATAACAAAAATAGATAACCAACCTACTTTCATCTAGTAATATTCACAAATACCCATTTAATTTGCCAATATAGTATTTCTGCGACACTGGAAGAGTGCATTTTGATATGATAACGATACCTTTTGCAGTTTTAAGGCGTACCTTATTCAATATTTTGTTCTAGTATAATACCCCATTTAATTTTCCAATAGAGTTTCTACGCCACTGGCGTAATATTTACATATTTTAACAATAAACAAAACAAAATTATAAACATAAATGATTATTACTACAAAAATAGATAACCAACCTACTTTCATATAATATTATTTACCATTACCGCATTTAATTTGCCAATAATTTTTATACGCCACTGGCGTAATTCATTTTGGCAATAAACATGCATTTATGACTAGTTGGCAAGTGATTCCGATACCTTCTGCAGTTTTAAGCTCGTGATTCCATTCATTATGCTCTGGTATAGTATCATTGTTGTACGTGAACAGGAAGGAATCACCTTCTTCAATATTTTGTCCGAGTATACCATAAATATCATTTTAATATTATTAAATCGTGATCCATTACAAAGATCAAAAATCTATCTGGTCGTATATTGTTTAAGTAATATCAAATAAATTAATAAACAACCCTATTTCTTAGTTCAGCCCAATTCATAAATCACTTCACGGATTATGAATTCATTCTCCTTGAAAGTAATTTATCACCAGGCAGGTAAAATTCAAGTTTTTTTTTGTTATAACTGTTTCGAACATGCATTTTCCATTAAGGTCATTCGTAACTGAATGCGGCTGACTCTTAAATGGTTATTTCCGGTGCTTCTTTAAAGAAATTAACGATTTTATGTGGAATAGGTAAGTTAACTATGTCAATTTTCCAGTTTTTTTTTAAGTAATTTGGTATATTCGAAATATTCGTAACTAAATCATTTATTCACTGGAATTATTAATATTAATAATAATAATAAGTAAATGCTTACAAATAAAAGGTTTTGTTTATTAGCAAAAGGTATAAGTAAAAGTATTTCCATATTCCTAAATTAATAATAAAATACTGTCACGTCCAATAAAACATTAAAATATCATTATTAAAATACATTAAATAAATTATTACACTTTCAAATAAATCCTAGAATAA